CAAATGTTAAACTTGCACCAGGATTGACAACCAGAGAGGTTGGTCTAATAATCCCACTGATGTTATGGCTTCCGGCAGGAATTACCAAGATTTTGTTATCAAAAGTCTCATTGTAATTTAAACTAGATACAAAAAACAAATTTTCTAAAACAATTATCATAAAAAAACAAAAAATATTCCAAAAATTGTCTGCTGGAGCCATTTTGCTGTAGTCTTTAAGAGAGAAAATATGACACTAGATTTTAAAATTACGCCAGGGGATTCATTTCTAGTTGACATTAGTATTTATTTCAAAAACTATTGTGAAAGAAAATGTCATTTACAAAGGTAAAAAAAATATCTTTTGAAATTGAAGCAGGAAGAAAATTTCATGATTTTTTGGATTTTTTTCTTCAGTTGTTTGATAGTATAATTATTTAAGTCTATATTGGTTTAGTAAAGAATCCCATTCATTGGTTGTATGATATTTACTTTGCACTTGCTTGAGAATTTTATTGATTCTGCATTGATAGACAGTAATTGGAAGTTTAGCTTTAATATGAAAAGTTTTGGAGCGTGTCCAATTTTCTTGAAATAATATAATTGGGAAAACCTGGCTCCACGCTCCACTAAATCACACTGAAACAGACTGTTCTTAATAGCTTGTTGACGGGGTCGACAGAAAACGTCCACAAATGAGAAATTTCAAGACAAAAATTGGGATTGAGAAATGGTTAGGCAGAAGAAGACAACAACTGATTTGTACTTAGCAGGATCTCCTCTAAGGGTTAGGAGTAATGGAAAAGGTTAGGTACAGCTAAGGGCTGGGTTAGGGTTAGGGTAAAAGTATTGATTTGTGGACGTTTTCTGTCGTATCCATAGGCTGGAGTGATTCAGCATTTCTCAAGCTGTCCATTTTTGGTTTCTTTTACTGTCTTTTCATCTTGGGTGTTACTATTTTCAGTCTCCCACTTCTAGGCCTATCTTTTAACAATTTTGTTTCTAAAAACTTTTTAATATTCTGAACAGTTTTTGGGCTGCACTTATAGAGTTTTGCCACCTTCCTGATAGACATACCAGGCTTTTGAAGAGTATTCAAGATTGATATTCTCGTGTATTCTGAAAAATTCACCATTTTTCTTAACTTTTGTTATATTATACTTAAATTGATGTGCCATATATAAACAACCTTAAATAATATTAAAGTGACACTAAGTAACGTTTACAGCAAATTTTAAGAATATAGCAGACACTAATGGCCTACTAAAAATAGGCCTCCTATTTATTATACTAAAGAACTAGGCTTAGATAAATGATATTTATGGTGGAGAGTAGATATGGGATGTCTGCATTAATAAATCAATGGCTGTCAATTTGTTCAACTTGAAATCATCCCACAAATCAAATTTGGATGTCAATATATTTTTCCTATAGATGCTTGTAAATCTTTTTCTCAGATGATAATTTTTTGTAAACTGCAATCAATTGGTTTGTTTTTGTAAGGGCTATTCTGAAGGGTAATCAATGGTCTTATCTTTAAAAAAATTTGACTACAATATAGAAAATTTTGTCTAGTTTTATGAGTAATTTTCTCCTAGTTAACAAATTATTTACATATTTTCGTGAGTATGTATAATTAGATACAAAAAATTTTTGACAAGTCCTCATATAATCCCTAACCCTAAGACCTAACCCTAACTAAGCAATATGTCTTTATAATGTTGTATCTAAGACAAACCCTATCCCAAAATATTTGAACAATATCAGTATTTCATTTATACTCTTCAGTGAATATACAATGTTTAAAAATATCTGTGGAAATAGAAGTTTGTTCTACTCATCAACATCATTCTTCATCTTATTTGATAATTTTGAACAATGGTTATATTACAATCAATAATTACAACAAAAAAAGTTATATGTAGCTTTTTTAAATAATTTAGACTAGTTTAAAAATTTTGGACTTATTCATGATGAATTACAAAGATTAAAAAGAGAGGATCAGGGAGAATAATATGGACAAAGTCTTTAATGATTGTTAACATAAATACAGGAAAATGATGATAGCTAGATCCCATTGTAATTAGTGTGATAATTATGTATTAATCTTTTATTGGAATTAACTACTCAGTTGATAATAAATGAGTTTTATATATCAAAAATATATTTATTGTATTTTTTTAGAATTCAAGAGTCCTTTTTCTCAAGAAAGAACGGACAAGCTTCCCAAAGGCAAATATATCACATTTTATCATCCCCCCTTCCAAAGGAACTAAAAATTTTGTAGACATAATAACTTTACAAGCCGCTTTTGTCATCTGAAAATATTTTCAAATTAATGCAAAAAATAAGTATTTCATCATGTTCCTTTTTTTTTTTACAGTATATGATATCAGATCCATGTTAATGTGACCATCAAAACTGAAATTATATTCATGACAAAAAGATATAGTAGATAGTGTTTCTTTTGAAATGTAAACAATCATTAAAAGGTCATTAAACTTTCCATAAGAATTTAATGATGTTAAATCATTTGTTTTTTTAAAATACAAATTATTTTTTTCTTGAACTTCTTGACAAAAAGAGAGACCTTTTTTTTAAAGAAAAAAATATATAATTTTTTTTTTATACTTTAAAAAAACTGTATGCTTCTCTCTTTTTTTATTACATGAAAGATGCTGTTTTCTAATTATTTCAGTATTCTTTGTTTCACTTTAAAAAGAAAATTTTTTAGGAATTTAAAAGAAAAAAAAAACAGTTACATTTGTTTAATGATAGCTTGATTTTTATTTTCTATCTTCTTTAAGATTTCAGCATATGAATGAAAAAAAGGATTTAAAACAGAATTCATGGGTACCAAAACAAGAATGATGATTGAATACAACTCATTGCTCATTTGAACATTTATGAAAATTGAAATTATTCCTGAAAATTTAGTAAAAAAGAAAAGTTATATTCAAAATAAAATATATAAGATTTTAATGGTTCTTTAACACTTTTCAGGGTTCAGTATGCTATTTTAGTAGTAATGTTATCCTATAACTCTTTGGTTGCCTAATCCTGAAAGTTGTTGAAACAGTATCTCTCTATCAGTGTGGAATAAAAAATACATTTTGATTCTCTGTTTGTCACTAAGGGGAGAGAATTTGCATTCTATTTTATTATACTTATGATTAATTCTTAAACTTTTCTAGCTTTTTGAGACAACAAAAGCTGTTTGAAACCCTATGAAAAATAATTTTTACGACACATTGTGTAGATGATACAGAAAATATTAATTTTCTTATTTGAACAATTATCATTATAATTTTGCATTAAAGTTTCTATTTTCTGTCTCATAAAATTTGAAATTTCCTAAATCATTTGCCAACCTAAAATTGATAGTGGTAGAGAACAAAGAAGATTTGAGATAATAATCAAATAGACAGATTTTGACAATGATTTATTCCTCCTGTTTTTAACCATAAAATGTTTCCTACTCTTTTTAACAATAGAAACAATTTTAAAGTAAAAAATGCTATTAACAACTGATATAACAAAAATCATAATTCCAAAAATGATTAAAGAATACCATGATGAAATGTTTGAATCACTTCTTATATGAAGTTTAAAACAAATTGGGGAATTGTCAAAATAATTCTAAGAAATTGAATAAAATATTTTAAATAGTTCAAGTTGAAAAAAAGAACTTTTTACTTCAAAAAAATAGATTGGAAAGAAACCAAGGAAAAAACTTAAACCCAAATATATAAATGTTATAAAAGTATTGATTTTCCAACTTAAAAATTGATGCATTGGATACTTGACTACAAAATATTTTTGAAAACTAATAAGACATAAACTAATAGTTGAACAGATTAATGCAAAATTCATAATTCCTCCAATAAATTTACAAATAAATCCAGATATCCAAATAGCTTCGTGTTCGAAAAATGTTCCTTTAAAATATTTATTTGTCACGGCAATAGTTATTAAATACGACGCTATTAAGAGGTCAGAAAATGACATTGTTATATAAAATCCATTATACTTCTTCTTTACAGACAGAAAATGAAATGTTAATGTCAATATATTTAGTAAAATGCCAAATAGGCCTAAAAACCATAAGAATATATCCAAATATTTGGACGCAATTAAATCGGAACACGTGTTGACAATTGAAGAGGATGGTGAACAAAACTGAATAGATTCTGCATATTTTTTTGTCAAACAGCATGCTGTAAAATATTTACTTTTCAAAATTTTTAATTTATTCAAAGGTTGAATTAAATTTTTTAATTGTCTATATGGAAGTTCTGTTAGAGATAAATCCAAAAAATGTATATTATTCTTTAAAAGAACATTTTTTTCAATTGTATCTATTGTACAGCCTCTCAGAGAAAAGTAGGTCAACATTCTAACCTTTGAAAAAGTGACTGCATTTAAAGTAGTAATTTTTGTATAAGATAAATCTAATTTTCTAAGAAAAGTTGATAAAGTCAATTGAGAAATTGTTTGTAATGGATTAAAAGATATATCTAAAATTTCTAGAATATTCTCTTTCGTTATATTTTGATATTTAAAGTGTTGAATATTATTTCTTGTTAAATTTAAAACAATTAAATTTGGAGTTGAAAATCTTTCTAAAAAATCTTTCAAATTGCTATCAACAATTTCTAATTTTGTCAATTTTGTTGATATATATGACTCAGTTAATAATTTAAAATTAATTATGCTTAATCCTTTAATATGATGAGGAATTGAAGTTAGTTGAAATTTTTCTCTCCCATTCAAAATATTTGATTGACATTGATATTCATAAAAAAGTTGACAGGAACATTTCCTTGGACAATAGGAAATATTTTTAGAACAAAATATTTCATCATTTCCTCTTTTACAATTAATTATACCATCACAAATTCTGCTTATATTTATATATTTCATTTCCTGTTCACATTTGAAAAAACCTTGTGGTTTAAAATATTCTGTTGGACAAAATTTATTGAATAGATATTGAAACAATTTTTATGCTTTCTTTCTACTCAACAAAACTCACTACAATTAAATTCATCATCACCATACCAACAATGATTAATTCCATCGCAAACTTGTTCAATAGATATACAATATCTAGATGATTGGCAAAGATATTCCCCTTTCAAACATTTCTCTCTATCACAATATTTAATTAATGAAAATGGCTCCCTAACTCTAACATCTAAATTTCCAACTGAATTATACTTGAGGCTACATTTCTTTTTATAATTGTTGACATTTTGATATCTGTTGAAAAAGAACAGTTGAAAGTGATCCAATACAATTATATCATACCTTTCGGAGAGTATTGAATCAAATTTCTTATCACATTCTACAGAATCTTCATCTGTGCCATCATAACAATCATATACAAAATCACATATAATATCTTTTGATTGACACTTATTATTACAGAGAAAATGTGTTTTTGGATTGCAGCCTATAACATTATCTTTCAATATTCAACTATCAAAAAGACTTGTTTTCCTCACCAAAAGAATTATTTCCATAAGATTTATAACTACTACAGTCTTCATCACTTGAATCATGACAATTTCTCTCATTATCACAAGTTTCACTTCTCTCAATGCATTGTTTATTTTTACAAGATCTAATAATAAAAAACAATGAAATAACAATAATTTAAGGCAAATGCTTAACATTTGAATTGATGAACAAGATTTGTGTTCTTTTAGAGAAAAACTGTTTGTTAAAAGCATAAACTTATCATAAATATTTTACCGCAAAAAATCTCATCCGATTTATCATTACAATCATATCTATAATCGCAAACATTTTGATACGGAACACTTTGATTATTTGATTGACATTGAAATTTGAAATATTCAGAACAATTTCTCTCGTCTTCTCCGTTAGAACAATCATATTTTCCATCACAAACTTGAATTAATGAAATACAAATGTTTTCGTAAGAACAATGAAAAGTTGTACCAGTACAAGATACAGAAAGGATTAGATGCCTTTTCCAGACATTCAAACTAAATGAATTTTTGGCTGATATTTCATAAAAAAAAAAAGTTATAATAATAATAGTGACAAATGCCAAAGTTTTACTTGTTGAAACTTGACAAACTAGAAACATTCTGATCAGTTGCTGACATGGAACGCTTCTTTTTACATAAACAAATTGACTTGTACGCTCCACCATATCTCTTTTTATAAGATAGCATCTACTTCTTGGATAATTACTAGATGTAAGTTGAGCACGTGTTTTAAATATCTGAGGTTGAATATCAAACTCTTTCCCCCTAACTAGAAAATTATCCTAAATATAGAATATTTTAAGTAGTTATTACTTAAAGTAAAAATGATTGTTTACTTCCATATAGAATCCTGACCAAAAAGTGGGAGGCATATTTGTTGGAGTTCTTAGACTAGTGTCATTTGTTTCTTTCATTGCTATGGGAATATTTGAAAGATAAATTTATGATAAATTTGTTAATATGACTACTAATTAACCAATTGTAATAACTAGTCCATATTTCATAACAAAACTAACAGGGTCATAAATATCAATTAAATAAGTTTTGCTTTTTTCATTTTCATAAAAGTAAATTCTTTTATAAAATAATAATTCTAAAATTCTAGATTCATAATTTAACGGTTCGTCCATCATATTTAAACCTTTTTCTTTACATTTTTCCATTGAATTAATTGTAGATAATTTGTCTCTTTGATTAAAAATATAATAGCATGTATCATAAATTTTCATATCATCATTTTGGGGACAGGCTTTAAAAAAAAAGAAACATTGCGTAATCACTTCTATGCTCAATTTTCTTTTTTTTTACCAGTTTCTCTTTTTCTTGAACATTGAACTTGAAAAGTTGCATGAATATCCTGTTTTATTCTATCCTCTCTAAAATGGTGGATGTATCAATAATTGAAATTAGTTTTTTTCGACAATTAGATATATTTTTTATTTTACACAATTCCTAAATCTGTTTTACTTTCTGAGAGAAATCTGCAATTCTGAATATATGAATCATTTTTCAAACACTGAACATCATAATTGTTGGGTAGAAAGTGTTCATATATTTTCAATTTCATTGTTGGAAGAATAATAATTGTTCCAGAAAAATATCCAAAATATTGACAAACAAGATTAATTTCATGCGAATTAGTTGTTAATAGGCTGACTGGATTCCATGTTTTATCCATATAAATCTCTAATACCCCATCAATTTCCAATTTGTTTTCATCTGTTTTGTAATAATTACCAAAATTTTCATTAAATATTCTCATTTCTTTTTCTATTGTGGGAAAAAAAAGTTAATATTTTCCAAATATTCAAAAAAAAAAAAACAAATTGAAAAAATTGAATAATGGAACCAGTTGAATTTCTTTCTTTATCGCAAAAAACATTTAAATATGTTACATAAACATCTTGATTTTGAAATATGCAACTATCTTTGGAATTATTTGTATATTTACAAAAATCATATTCATTTTGAGTGTTGTTCTTCAAATTTAAAAAATATATTTCTTTTTGAATTTTATATGTGCTTAAAGATACTAACCAGTGATATGATTTGAACATCATTATCATCATAAGAACAGTAATCATAAGAATGATATTGACTTTGCTAAAAATATTTTTTTTGCTATCTTTCTAATAGTAAAACAAAAACAAAACAATAAATACTTACATCTTTAACATTCGAACTTTCATAACTGCTCTTTGGCTTTCTTCCTCTAACTTTACCTCTTTGAGCACAAATATACCTTTCAATTTTTTCGCTTATTCTCGCTCTATCTTTACTTCGTTTTAAAGAAATAACCTTTTGATAGTCTGAATAGATTTTCCAATTTGTAGAATATAGAGATATGGTTTTATAATGTGAAATTGTAAATGATTCACAAAAAATATTTCCTTCAGGGTATCTTTTCAAGTTTGCATAATTTGTATAATTTATTGCTGATTCATCAAAACCAATAAGTTCTTTTCTTCTTTTTCCAGAATTATGGTATTTAAGATATATAAAGTTGGCCTTTGCACAAATTAAATCTGATTGAATTTCAGAAATTACGTAATATCCTCTTCTTTTAATGCGTAAAATAGGTTGAAGACGTTTTGAATGACCATATTGATCCAGTTGTAAATAAAGATCTGATAAGGAGAATATTTTTTATGAAAATATAGAGTAGCAAAGCATAATATCATTTTTTCATTGAATGCTAGATTATACCAATACATCAGTAAAGAGTCTTTTAATAAAATAAAGTATACCATTGTCCTTTGAACAAATACTATATTCATAATAGAGCAGATCATAACCAAGTTTATTGCACAACATTTTATAAGCTGGTATTTTACAGTTTTCATATTGAATTGATAATTTTAACTTTAATAAGGCATAAAAGTTAGTATTGATTACATCAACATTTCTTTTTATGTATAGAGAGAGAGAGAGAGAGAGAGAAAAAAAATAAGAATGAAAACCATAGCTGAGTGAAAAAAGAAATTGTCATTAATTTTCAATGTTTTTTTTCTTGTATTAAAATCACTTTTTCAGGAAAAGGAAAGCATAAAAGAAAAAATATTATGGAACAAAAATGATTGTTAATGATGAAAAAAGTGTATGTTGAGCTGTACAACCTTTAAACATTAATTTTAATTCATCATTTTGCGATAATTTCATAAGAACACCAGTAAAGGCATAACCAGAATAGAAATCGTAATGTATCGAAGCTTTTACAACTCGTGTTTTTTGATTGCCATTAACATCTATATAAACTTCTAATTCTTCAGACATACTTTTATTTGGTAAGTTAAATGTTACGAAATATGTACCGGAAGTTGGAATTTTATATGATTGTCTATTAGGTATCCAACCATTCATATTATCAACGTAAGGTAATGCATTAAAGCCAAAAGTAAAAAATTGTCCACTGCATCTTTCTCTTGTTGAAATGATTGAAAATATTGGAAAACTTTCATTCAATTTAAATGCATTTAAATGAATTTGTAAATTTGAATCTGAATATTGAGTATCCTGATGTCTTTGCAATCCAAACACATCATGTATTTCAACACGTCGAATAAAATTCACTGAATAAGCATATGGAACATCCCGATTACTTGCCATTCTTAAATAATGCACAAAACTTGCGATATGTAATTTTATTATAGATGCTACTTTTCTCATTGTAGCTGATCCATAACTTATAAAATACAATCCTTCATTCATTGCTATAAAATTATTTCCATTAATTTCAAATCCTTTTCTTGCAGTTACTATCGGTAAATTGATTGAAGAATGACCTGAATGTGTTGTTGGACTATCACGTGCAGCGGACAGATAGTTGTCAGTTTTATAATAGAAACCCGACCAGGAAGTTTCAGTTCCATTTAGGCTTCCCACTAGATTTGAGAAAGGTTGATTCTGAACAATGTTAGGCCTATGCAAGGAAGTTAACGTAAATATTCCACATCTGGTTATAGTTTCAACTGATACGTTATATAGTTTTGATAAACCAATTTTTCTTCCAGTGCCTTCCAGAGTAATATCAACCTTACTACTTTGGTCCATATGAGCAGTTACTGACATGACATACATTCCAGATTTTTGAATATTCAAACTATTGTCAATTTCATTAAATAAATTCTTCTGATTGATGACAACTTGCGTCCAATTCATCCTACCTGAACCAACTATTTCATTGTTTAATAAAGAGACCATAAATGCAGGTGTATCTCCATCATTGCAGTCGTTACTTTCGCATTGGTCCACATCAATCGAGTTACCTTGACATTCTAGTCCACCATTAGATGCTGGTGGATTATTACATTCCCTAACTCTTGTCCGGTGTCTTTGCTGTCCACATGCTGGTTTGCAGTCGCTCCATTCTGACCATTCGGACCATCCTCCAGGTATTGCGCAATTAGCTTCTTCAAATGGAACGCATAATTTTACATTACAATTTTTAATGATTGGTGTAAAATAGTATCCAGTTGGACAACGTTGAGGCCAGGCCACACCATTAACACAATTATAATAACTCCTACAGTCAACTGAATTGGCAACTGTTTCATTCTTATTTGGTGAACATTCATCAGCATCATTTAAAGATTTTAAATCAACGTTTAAATCATCATCAATCAAGGATGATGATGATTGACAATCTGATATTCTTGAATCTATACAGATTACATAGCGACAATCTTGAAATATAAATTTATAATGAAAACCAATAGGACAAACTTGAAGATGAGCAATTCCATTTATACATTGATAGTATACTTCACAATAATTCGGATCTCCAAACGTTCCATCAATAGGTTTTGATTCAGAATCAATTGGACATTTGAATTCCGAATAAACAATTGCAAAAAAGAGGCAGAAAACTGATAAAAAAACTTTAAAATTATTAATAAAAAAAACAAAAATATAAATAATTTTTTTTATATTTACAATAAGAACTCAACCAAATTTTCATGATTATTTTTCTTCCCTTTTTTTAAAATATACCTTTATGTGTTGACTTATATATTTTATAATTTATCAAAGATAAGATATTCATTATCTTGTTATAAACATAAGGAGGATTTCTCACACAACTTTTCTTCCTTTGATAACAATTGAGGAAGTTAATATTTTTGTATTTCTACAAAAGTTCATCTAATTTGCATATTTTGTATTCTTAAGTTTAAAGTTTTTAAATTATGATCCATATTGTACTCTTCCATTAAACGTATGATAAGAGTCAAATTTTTCAATTAGTAGGCCTATAACAATATAATATGAGATTTTAAAGAGAGAAAAAGAAAGCATGTGTCATTTTCAAGAATTTTAGAGTACTAAGACAATTTTTTGAATATATTTGATATGAAAAATTACTTTAAAGCGGATAATAAAAAAAAAAAGAGAGACTTGAACGGAATATTGTTCATCTTCTCTGTCACAATCAATTTGATCTCTTAGATAGAAAAAAATTGTATAGGCTCAATTGAAGATATAGGAAAAGGTTTAAAAATATATCATTATGAAATTTTTAAGAATGTATGACTAGGGCTAAATTTTGTATAATCAAATTAGTGAAAATGTACTTGGGAGTATAATCAATTGTTTTTTTTTTTCTATATTTTCATAATGATGAAAGGTTACAATAAAGAAGTTTCATTTTGTTTGAAGATACTTCCATTTTTAAATAGCAACAACATTGATATCACAAATGGACACTGTGTTTAGAGGGTTTAATGACTTGTCATAATTGATCAGCCATTTTAAGTATATTATTTTACATATTGAATTACCACAATTGCAAATATAAGAACATTTTCCATTATGATCATTTAGTGTACATATGAGAAATTCTCCACTCCAAAGGTCATTTTGATTAAAATATTGAGTATAGGCCTTAACATAGACCATAACGTAAGGTTCTGTATTTGAAAGTGAGCAGGAAAAATTCATTCCACGTATTTCGACTTGGACTGTTGAATTTGCTGGTTCAAAAATTTGATATAAAAATTTCTGTTCATATCCATCAGAATTTAAATTATCACATGTAGAATATCTTTCCGGTTCCGTTAGACCTCCTAATTTACATATACTATCAATCATTTTGTATGAATGTATCCCTAAATTTAAGTGTTCTTCTGGAATTACTGGAAAAAAAATAGAATAATTTTTTTTTTATAAAGTAAACAAATTAATCAAAGTATTTGAAACTGACATGGTGACATAAATGCTGAACTTGTTTTATCATTAAAATTGTAGGGACTAATTCCAATAATAATTTCTTCATCTCCTTCAATAGAATATTGATATTGGCTTGATCTGCATGTTTGTGACTGTACTTTGTCACTAATAATCCAAATATACATTCCTAAAGAAATATTTCAAATAGTTTTATTTTGCTTTTGGTTTTTAATTCTTATTTTTTTTTTACCAGAAACTTGAGCTCTTGATGCTGTGTCTCCATTTTGACATTTAAAGTATTTCTGGCGGGCATATTCAATTGGATGACCACTTGTCTTTGTATGAGCTATTAACATAATTTCTCCTTCATGAAAAAAAGAGAACAAAATTAGGCCATTATTAAGAGATGTTAAAAAATAATTCAACATTTAAAATTGCTGCCATGGATGCAACAGAAAACATCTCTTAATGCATAGTTTTACCCTAACCTGGCCTTAGTCTAACCTTTTTGATTACTACTAACTCTTAGATAGAACCCCATTAACTGTGAATCAAAAGCTAGATTACTTCCCCTAACCATTTTTCAATCCGAAATGTTGCTTTCAAAAATCTCTTTTATGGATGTTTTCTGTCAGCCCTGGCTGATATAATGAAATTTGTGCTTTAAACAAATTGTATCAATCTTACCACCAGGGAGGAAACAGGGAATAGATTCATTTCCATTGTAACAACAACCAGTATTTTGACAATCTGTTAATGATATTCCGGGCCAACCACATTCTATTCTTTCATTTATTGGCTGAGTACAAATTATAGAACATACAGATAATCCAATAGAAATAAATATTATGTAAAGATGATAAATTTTCACTTCAGGCATATTTCTCAACTCAACTTGGATATCTGAAGGGAATTTAAAAAGCAAATGTCAAACTAGAGGGCGACAGAAAATATCCCATATATAAATGAAGAGAAAAGATAGTTAAGGCTAGTTTTAAGTGTTAGGCCCCTTTTGATTTCCGGACACTTTATCATTATGTAATTTATTTTCAAACTTTCCTGTAGACCTATTCTAAGAAAAGGCTTCACTCTCTTTTTGTCATTAATCACTCTTCTATTCAAATATTCAAAATATTTGTGTTCACTCTCTGAAAAATATCAAACACTTCTCAGTTAATAAATGAGTTTTGTTCAATCAATAAATTCATAGAAATTTCAATATAAACTCTTTAAGCTGGGAAAAAAATCTATAATTAACAAAAAATTTAATAGGCCTATAAAATAGATCTTATTTCTATTTATATGATTGATGAGAAGAAAGAATTAATTATTGTTTTTTTATTTTTATAAATAATTGAATAACAATACTGTACTGTTTATATTGTATAAAACCCTTTTAACATTCAACTTTCTCATTCTCTTCATCGATCGCTCTTATTAAATCCCTTTTTAATCTTCTATCTTCCATTCTCTCTCTCTCTTTCGTCCTTGGCAGTTGACTGATTATGCTCTATTTATAGTTAATCTAAACTACTTTTGGGACTCTATAATTCTTTATTGTTGAGATACTTTACTGCACTAGATGTCACTACTGTCACTTTACTGCACTTATCAACTTGTCTGAACATAAATTGTCAAAACATCAAACTGGATAAAAAGATGATGGGAAAGGAAATGAATTTCACAATTTTTTCAAGGTTAGATCAAACTATTGATCTAGTTAACAATCATAAATGGAGTTTGTAAGAGCTTTGATACTAATTGAACAGAACGTTATACATTATGTGCTAGTGTGAGTCAGTGAATGTCTGTCAATATGCTAGCGTTACTTGAAAGGGGAGCTTGATTTAGCCAAAGTTAGGACAGTAGATAGAGAACAACGTGGCACCACACGAATGAGCACAGTCAAGTACCCAGTTAAGTGACGCTAGCAAGGGTATAAAAGAGAGTGAATGTATCTAAAAAGTTGTGAGAAAGCTTATAAATAATTTTAGACGGAATTATTGCGCAATTCCGTACTATAAGCGAAAAATAAATCTTATAAAATAATTTTCATTTTATTGTTTAGTATACATATACATTGTTTTAAGCACAAATTTTAAGTAGTTGATTGATTGATTTTTTTGCTGCTAACCCTTAGATAGAACCTCCCTAACTACAAATCAAAAGCTACTTTACTCCTGCTAATCATTTTTCAATCCGAAGTCTTGCTTTCAAAAATCTCACTTGGGGATGTTTTCTGTCGGCCCCGAAAAATGCCCTTACTGCATTTTGCAATCCCTCATAATTCTTATATACTTTGCCCCAAAGATGATCCTTTAATTTCCAGAACAGATAATAGTCTGATGGCGCCAGGTCTGGGCTGTAGGCTGGATGAGGCAAGACTACCCATCAAGTTGTTCTAAGATATAGAGTAGTTTGTAAGCACCACTGAAGTCTCAATAACTTTTCATTCAGGGATCACAATTTGTGAAAGTTTTTTAGTGATAGTGCATTAATGAATTCATTTTCTATTGATAATGATAACATAGGCCAACAATGTACTGTTTTAAAATTACAAGGAAACGGGTAAAACTTTCAGGGTGACCCTAATACTTGTATCTCCATTTTCGAAATAGTTTTACATACTTTTCTATAAATCATTTTTATTTCTTAATGCAAATAAAGATTTTTCGCAAAGATAAGTTTTTAATCTCTTTGAATTTTGAATTCAAAGCAACTGCATTTAAAATTGAATAGAGGGTAAAGATATTCTTCTTCTTTAATAAACCAAAGTAATACGATAGGCTGGATTCATTGAAGGGTGATTTATTACTTTAGGTCATTCCCTATTGAAAATATTGATCAAATAGCTGATTGGATCTTTTTTGATACTGCTTATTTATTAGCATGTCTGCCGACTAATCCAAACCGAGCCTAAAACTATTGAAAAAGTTTCTATTATCTTTCAGTTCTTTTTATTTTTTTTTCGATCAATTGACAATGACATTAATTAATAAATTTATTCTCTTAATCACTTTTCGACAAATAATCTGTTGCATTTAACAAATTTTTAATAATTCCATATCGAAAATGAGGGTTGCGTTTGGGGGAATCAATCCTTGGACTCCTCCTTTACCGTAACCATAATCTGGACTGCAAGTGAGCTGTGCTCTTGCTCCAAGGCTCATTTGCACAATACCTTCATCCCAACCTTTGACTACCTGACCGGAACCAATCTTGAATACGAATGGCTTTCCCTTATCACGAGACACAATAGGAGAAGTTCGAGGTGTTGTACACACATCTGAGTGACAATGTAAAAGAGAATATCAAAAGATTTAGATACTCCCCTAAGGAAGGATACAAAAGTGCGATGAAGTTCCTTAGGTCAAAGTATGGTAAGTGAAAAAAGAGACAGTGCAGTGATGCGTCAAAGAACTGATCCAGATTTTAACGGAGGTGCATGGAGACTACAGAGACCGGAATGATTTGGACAACAAGCATTTAGAGGCAATATTAGTGGTCGTGACAAAATTCAAAATGAATGCCGGGTTGAGAGCGGAATGGGATAATGAGGAAGTGGAAGAAGAAATGAGCCTTTCCATAATTTTTTCATGATTTTCTATTCAATGACAATTCATTTTTTACAAACTTAAATGGCTTTACTGATGGAATTTGCAAATGCTTTATCAGAACAGTATGTAACACTACTGGTGATCCAGATTCTGAATGTGTTATGACTGGGGGAGAAGAAGTTACTAAAGAAGGAGATTTTAGTGTCCTTTCACATAGATTGCCAATAAGAGAGATACATACAGGTGATGTTAACAATACAAAAGAATGGGTTCGCTATTCAGTACATAAATTAAAGTGTATTTTTGAAATTCAACCCGTTTTTTATTTATTTACCAATCACACTACAAGAGTTACTATTTTCGTTTTCTCTTTATTTTTCAATTATTCAGTTGTCTTAAAGTAAACAAACAACAAAAGTATAACATTTCTCAAGCTTAAGTGTTTTTTTGTAGTAAAAAGTTTCTCTTTTGGAGGATATTTTTAACCAACAATCCATAATGTTTAATATCATTTTTTGCAGTTTCCACATTTAAACTTGTAAAGTTGGCGACAGTTAAAAAATACTTTTTTGATGTTGTCTTCAATAAATAAAAAAGCAATTTATTATTTAGATAGTTGAATAGGCAAGCATATATTTTTGTTATAATTTACATCAAAGACAATATTCTTAATACTCAAATTCTGTCCCAGGCATAATTCATATAAATGTAAAAATGTTAATGACTTTACAACAACTTTCAACAGGATAAAGTATTGATGGTTTTCGTACAGATTACAATCAATTTCAACTGTTTCAAAGCTATGTAAATATTTAAATTGCATAACCTGATTTTCTTCTGCTTCACTTAGACATCTGAGAACTGAAATGGTGAATTGTCTTTTAATTTTTCAAAAAAAGTAAGAAGCCAATTTTTGTTACGTTTCGATTGAAATTGTGATAATTTACATTGTATATCCATTTGTCTATAGAAATTGTTGAAATGATTAAAATATCTTTTTATACAAAGTTAAAAATGAAAAAATGGATACAAACACTTTTGCTTTTCTTCTTTTAGATGATTCTTTCATCTTGAAAATTAATTTGCTTGTCAAGAAAATACATGGATTTACAACTGAATTTATTGGTAGGAATATGATTATGATAAAAATGTAAATGTTCTCATTGATTTCCAAATCAGTTAGTAGTGAAATATAACCTTAGAAACACAAGTGAAAAGGTTATCTATAGTTTTTAATTACTGTATTGATTTTTCTTTTTTTTTTTAGCTCTTTAAGATATAGGAGAAAAATATTGCAGTCATTTATTGAAATTTCTCCTATTTCTTTAAAAGAAAGTATTGTATTCACTTAAAACAGAGAATGGAATCCAACAAATAGCATTTGTTGTAATAGTTAAAAAAATATTTCTTGTAAGCTTTTGTCCTATTTTTGATGACATACCCAAATTACTCAATTCTAATGAAGATTTCCTTGCAAATAGATAAATTTTTATATAATTAAAATCAATAAGTATTATAACAAGAGAGATTATTATTCCAAAAAGTATAAATGAGAAAAACCATCCAATACTCTTAACTTTTTGAAAATTAACATTACAACAAATTCTTGTAAAGGAATGGAAATTCTAGAATTTTTTTTATCACTAAAATTTAAATTTAGCAAGGTAAAATCTAAATTTTTTTACTTTAAAGAAAATGTTTGGCATTGATGAAAAAATTGCAGAAAACAACAGTATTGTAAGAATTATAAATTTTTTTCTCTTAAAAATCTTTGATTGAATACTGTAATTTAGTATCATGTCAGCTCTTTCCATTGTTAGTAATAGGACACTTATGGATGATATACACATTGAAAAATATGCAATAATTCCTAAACTCTGACAAGTATTACTATTCCTCCATATATAATCAAAATTGATATAGTCATTACCATAATACTGATCCATTATTAAAATTGTTAGAATATAGATTGATAACAAGAGATCTCCAACAGCAAGAGTAACTTGAAAACAAAAGATATTGAT